TTTCTATTGTGATGCCTTTAAAGGCTTTGGAGGAGGGTCTGCAGAGGCTGATGAATCACAACCCAGCATAAGGTGGCCTGGCTCCCAGCACCGTGGAGACCCCTGTGGGTGCCTTATTTGGAGACCAGAAGTGTCAGATCTAATCCCAGTGACGCTGAGAAAGTCCACACCTGGGCAGGGCCACACCTCACCTTCTTGACCAAGGGCCAAGGGGCAGCCCTGCCTAGGAGGACCCCCAGTGCCCGTGCTCCAGCCCCTCCCACACTCAGTTCCCAGTTCCAATACAAGATTTCCTCTTGACAGTCCAGATCAACCACAGTCACCCTGCTCACCGTCATATAAGGGACATAGCACATCCGTAAACACCACTTGTGTTTCCACAAACCAAGTAAGCCATCGTTAATTCAGAACAGAGTAAAAAAAAGTCAGGGTTTAAGTAACAGTCTCCTGAAATTGGGGCAACGACAAAATGAGGTCAAGTTCCTGTCCTGGGTGTGCAGATTGTTCGTCCACCATCGGGAGGTGACAGGTCTTGATTAAGAGTCTGGAAAGGAAAACAGGTGCCTTCCAGAGCCCACCAGCAGGGGTCACTGTGCGCCCACAGATCCCGGAACCGCAGCGCCCAGGACAAACACCCTCTCTCTGCAGTCTTTCCTGTTCCTCTAACTGCAGAGTCCGCAAGTACAGACAGGACATCGTGGGGCCGACGTGTCTTTGACCTTGAATGACACAGTAACCGCGGGGCAGCCGCCCCAGGCAAGAGGGACTCGAAAACCATAGCTGGGAATGAGGTTCAGAATCCAAGGGATTCAACATTAAACGCATCTCAATGCTGTCCCCACGCTCAGCGAGATTTTCTGTTTGGTGTCAGATGTATAGCATTTGTGGTGTCTCCTGACCACAACATCAGAGCCAGATGGACACACACAGAAGCTGTGGCAGGGAGACTGGCCAGTGGAGCCCCGCACAGCCAGGAAGGACGGACACCCACACGCCACACAGGACAGACAGCCTGCTCCCCCCACGGAGCCTTACCCCGGTTCTCCCTGGAGCACACACATGTGTGTGCATCCCTCACGCTGACATCCCTGAGCAGACGCACGTGTGTACCTGAGTTCCAGCCACATCCCTGGAGGACAGGGACCCTGCTTGTCACAAAGCTCAGAACATCTTAGCAGAACCCGACACGCACTCTGATTGTCTCCCTTCTGCCTTGGGAAATATTTGTCCCCAGATCATCATAAAAGAAATAAAGGAAGAGTACCGAACATAATTTACAGACAGAGAAACCCAGGAACCCAAGGAAACGTTTACTTCTCTTTCAGGGGCTGGTTGACTTTACCCGAAGCTGAGTTCCATCATGAGCTAGAACAACACATACATGTACATCCGTGTACAAACACAGACACACACAACACCATGAGGCCACTCACACGTTTGTCATTCAAAGTTCAGAGTCACGACCACTTTGTTACTGTCCAAATAGTTAAGAAGTCAGCTGCACGCTCTAACATTCTCTGGATATCACAGTCAAACCAGCGACATTCCGTGACTGCATGTCTTTCAACAGAGGTAATCCCGCCCCCGCCCACACCAGGGTAATGGCCCAAACTGAAGTCGGAAAAGACGCCATTGGTCTCAGGAGCTGGTTCTCCGCCTTGGCTGAGCTGTGGCTTCTTCTGGAGCTGGAATCACTCCATTTCCTTAGCTCAGTATCTGTACTGCTGCTCCCATACCTGAGGACCTACCTGCGCACAAATCTTCCTGCAAAGTACACAAACCTGAGATGCACTCCCAAACTTTATGCATCTACTTTATTCCCCAAGTTGGCAAGGCAAGAATATGCCTTTCATTGAAAAGCCTGGGTCTGGGAGAAACCCCACTGGCAAACGAAGCTGTGGGGAAGGGCTGGCCCCGCACGAGGTCACAGAGTTGTCTACAAGTCTTCTCCATCAGCTTCTTCAGAAAACAGAGCAAAGGAGAGCCTGCCTGCTAAGCCACCCCAGGTCCTGCCTAATAAAACTTCATGATGAGTAAGGAACCAGGTGATGTGGGCCTCCCCACAGATCACAGGTAAGGTGAGGCACTCCTGCCAGTGGGACTCAGCCACAGGGCAGGCATTGTTAGAGCCCCACTTCCTCCAGGAGAACCGAGGTTCTCTGGGGAGTCAGGGCCAGGGAGCCTGGACACTGCCCTCGGACCATCCTCCCTCCCCTCGCTTCTCTGCCCCACAGCAGGCTGAGCCTGTCCCCACCTTGTCCTTTGTCGGGAGGCACTCCTGTGCCCCCAGCTGCTCCCTGGCTGGGCTGCGGGTCAGTAACATCTCAGGACAAGTGTCCTTCCTCACTGTTCCTGGCCACCTGAGCCGTCAGCCCAGGACTGGTTTCTCGCAGAACAAGACCCAGGTTGGGAATGTGCTGCCCCAGTGACACATGTAAACCAGGGGTCCATGCCTCCATGCAGGGCTCTGTGCTGGGCAGTGACTGCCCCAGTGACACACGGAAGCCAGGGGTCCTTGCCCCCACGCAGGGCTCTGTCCTGGGCAGTGACTGGGCCAGTTTCTGGCCCGCAGGAGAGGAACTGCCAGAGGTCTGAACAGAATCCCTGCAGTGGGTCTTCTTGCAGGGGGGGAGGTGTCCCAATGGTCTCCTCTATCTGCCATCTTCACCAGCCCCAAGGTGTCTCAGCGGGGCGCCTCTGCCCTGACTCACCTGGGGCTGGCCCTTCCTGCAGCAAAGCGGACCTCACACGGGCCTGGCAGACCTGTGCGAGAACACGCCTCAGACAGGCTCCTGACACCCTCGCCGCCTGGCAGGCGCGGGAACACGTCCGACTCTGCCCGATGTCCACGTGATGAGGCATCTGTAACCCAGATTCAAGGGCTATCCCTTGAGGAGTGAAATACTGTTCAACTCTTAAGAGCGGATTGTTCACATACACACTTAAGCAGGTCACCCTGTGCTGTAATTACCGACCAACAAACACACACCAGAATGCCTGCAGCCCCCTCACTGTGCTGAGCAGATTCTGGGTGGAGCTGAAGGAGGAAGTCAGCGCATTGGCATCTGGGTTTTCTCAAGGGGGTCGCGTCCCTGACAAAGTGCCTCCTGCAGGAAACGGGCTGGGAGGGGCAAGGAGGGCTCCTGTCCCATTAAACCGGCCAGTCTGAAATGAAAGTGCTAGTCGCTCAGTCGAGTCCAACTCTTTGAAACCCACCCGTGGATTGTAGCCTGCAGGGCTCCTCTGTGCATGGAATTCTCCACGCAAGAATACTGGAGTGGGTAGCCACTCCCTCATGAAACAGAAGTTCAGAAAGTTGCTCTGGGTTATCCTGCAGTTCATGGTTTGTGGAGGACTCTGATGCATATTCCTACTTTCCTGGCACCCAGGAAAACTGCTTCTTTCAACATAAAGGTTCATCTAAATTCCTTTCTCTGGTGCTTGAACCAGTGACTCTTGGAAGGAAGGTACAGGGATCCTCCACAATAGCCCAGGCAGCCGGGGCCCCGCCCTCCCTGCCGCCTCACCGCAAGATTAAGAAGTTATGTGCCAGACATGCGCCTTCCTCTTGCAAGTCTTGACTTCAACTGTTATTTTTCCACTTTTTTTTTTTTTCTTTTCTCCCAGCACCTGTTCGAATCAAGGGTAGGGTGGTCTGACTGCAAATTTGTTCTTTCCTTAATCTTTAAGCAAGAGGTGGAAAGGATGAGAGATGCTTGAAAACATGGTTGAAATGTCATTTTTACAACGAGCCACTCTAGTGTATTTTTAGACTCAGTATCGTACACAAAATCAAGGTGTTTTTGCTAGTTACCCAGCTAGTTTAGAAACTTAACCGAGCGCTACAGAGGAGGCACCCTTTCCTTTTTTTTTTTTTTTTTTT